GCTCCTCCCCTCGCGCTGCTCCTCCCCTCGCGCTGCTCCTCCCCTCGTGCTGGGCCTTCCCATCACAACCACTTTAGCAATTTTTTAAAGGCAGAGATTTATAATTCAATACTTTAATTCTTTATTTTTGAATGTGGCCAGTGGAAGCTTCTTCGTGTCAGGCTGGTGTCCTTTCTATGTTCTCTTCGGTCGCTAGCATGTCCTTTGGGAATAAGCAAAGACTCCACACTCATAGAAACTTCACTTTTCCTGACCCTGGACCCCACTGCTCCCTTCAGGGGTGCAGGTGACATAGTAACCAAGATGCAGTGCAGCTTTCTCATGGCAACTGGGTGTCGCCCCAATGCCCCTCAGTGGACAGCGCCATGAGCCTGTAAACTCTGTTCACTGAGCTGTGCTTTAACCGCAAAACCTAGTTTAAAAGTCTCCCGGGTGGGGCTGGAAAGATGGGTGCATGGCTGAAGGCACTGGTGCTGGTTGGTCTTCCAGAGGAACCAGATTTTGCTCCCAGCAACCGTGCTGAGTGACTCACAACCACTTGTAACTCCAATTCCATGGAATCCAATACCCTCTTCGAGTCTGTGTAGGCACCTGCAGTCATGTGCGCACACCCACACACAGACACATAAATTAAAATTAAAATAAAAAGTAAGATTCGTTAAACCATTCTTGAGGAGTCGTAGTCCAGTCCTTACCCGTGCTGCCGGATTCTGTGCATCCTCTAGAGGAGACTGTCTATCTGCAGGGCACCTTTTGTGTCCTTTTGGGTTTGTTTCCAAAAACTATATGTAAATATATCCTTACTTCTCAGGGGTCTTTTCTTTTTTACATAAAAGCTGCATTCCAGGTAAACATATATGAACTATGGCTATGGCGTGCTACAAACATTCTCTGCCGAATGTAGTTCAGCTTCTGGTGAAAAAGCTCCCAGACAAATCCAGGAAGGAGCCAGTGAGCCCTTGAAGATACCACCTCATGTCTGAGGGCTGCGGAGCCTCTAGTAAGGGAACAGATCGAGTTCCAGCCAGGGCTTGAGGTTTTCTGGGTGGCATTAGTTTCTTTCTAAGAACTGTTGTGTAAACATCACCACAGGAGCCATCCACGCAGACCGCATGGAAGGAGAGCTCTTCAGGTGTTATTAATGAAGAGCGGGGGCAGGGGGCAGACATGGCGTGATAAAGGATGCCAGATCTTCTCACTGAACTTGACATCCTTCGGGCACAGTCAACAGCACGCCTGTCTCACCAGGTTTGACGCTTTGGGAATCTAGAGTAGAGTCTTCCCAAGAAATCTCCCTTCTGTGGCCAGGCCCAAGGGTATTGTCTATGATCTTTTTGTATGCACCATCTTTCCCTCTGCAGAGCGTATCCATATAGTTATCAAGGTTCTCCCTCTTCTAGTTGCCCCTGTATTCTGACCCTTCTCTTTGTCGGTCTCTCTAGAAGGTCACTGCTCCTCTGGAGGCTCTGCCCCTGTGTACCCAGGTCACTCCTAATCATCATTCAGATGTCCCTCCTCCTGGATGGTTCCCCTACCTTCCCCCTCAGCCTCGGGGGGTGTTAGTGTTGTGCTTCAGGATGAGAATGATGGCCAGTTCTGTAGGTTACATCATTGTGATTGATGAGCAGTCTGCTCCGAAGACTAGGGAAAAAGACCCAGTGAGAAGATACTCACGTGCCTGCTACACACAGGCTTTAGTACGTGTTCTGTATCGTTGCAAGTCTACGTTATGATGCACATCTCTTGACTCTGTAGAAGACAACCCTCCCCTACGATGAGAAAGGTATACTTCCGCCATCTCAAGAAGCACTGGCCTATCCTCGCATTATATGCGCACAGCATGGGAAAGCACAGTTGCCTGAACATTTGCACCAAAAAACTGTGCTCATTAAAGTTTTAACTACGTCACCTCCTTACCAAAAGGTAATTAACTCACTTAGGCCCCCAATTATGTTACTTAATTATTATGAACTAATTATTATGCTAAGAATGGGTGGTTACTAGCTTGAGAACAAAATCTGTAGTTACCTGTTACCTAAGTTCGACACAAGTAAAAATCAACAAGAACAACTCACAGATACGTTTTTAAACACAGTACAAATCAGGAGTTTATCTCCAGGATCTAAGCAATAGTTGCTAGAGGATGGAGGCAGGGTATAGAGTTCCTTGTCGTGAGTCCAGAGATGCTGAGCTGTGCACATGGATTCAATCCCATCAACTCAAAAGGCTTAGGCAAGAGGATAATACTGGCTGCTTTTGTTTCAACTTGATAAGGCTAGAGTCATCAGAGAGGAAGGAGTCTCTTTTGAGGAAATGCCTCCATTGGATTCAACTATAAAGCACAGTGATCAAGGAGGGAGGACCCAGCCCATTGTGGGTGATGCCATCCCTGGGCTGTTGGTCCTGGGTTCTATAAGAAAGTAAGCTGAGCAATCCATGGGAAGCAAGCCAGTAAGTAGCACCCCTCCATGATGTCTGCATCAGTCCCTGCCTCTAAGTTCCTGCCCTGTTTGAGTTCCTGTTCTGGACTTCCTTCATGATGAACAATTTGGATGTGTAAACCAAATAAACCCTTTGCTCCCAATTTGCTGCTTTGCCATGCTGTTTCCTCACAGAAAAACAAACAAAAACAAACACCTAACTAAGACAGACAGTATGAGCTAAATAGCTTAATTCTATTTTGAAAGAAAACACAGGGCTAGGGATATAGCTTACTGGTAAAGCACTTGCCTACACACATAAGGTCTGGGTTCAATCACCAAGACTATTATAAACAAAATCAAACAATAAAAACATTGGCTAAGCTCGACACAAACCACCACACATCTCTTTGCTTCAATAGTCATTTCTTGAGGGCACAGACAGTCTTGACTCCCCTAGCTAGGGGAGGGCTGGACTTCTGAAAGATGTGCACAACACAGTCAGTGCCACAGTCATCCAGCCCAAAACGTTAGCTGCATGAAGGCTGAGAACCACTGTCCTCTTAATGGTTCTTTAGTTATGTTAGCCACCGAAGGAGTACTGCTGTACCATCTGTCTCAGGACATATTGGACACCCTACCCCTCCTTATGTGAAGTAGTAAAAGAAGATGCCTAGACATTAGCATACCCTTCAAATCATAGAGGTCAAACTTAGTTCTGACTCTCCTTTTACAGTATCTCCCAATCTCCCCTTCCTTAATGGTTGTCCAGTTATAAACCTGAACACTGGCCTGCTGGCCTCTCTTGCCTTACCCTCTACACCTAATGGTGGCTAAGCTCCAAATCTATACAGATCTGTTGGGGTCCAGATGCTCTGTAGTTCCTTTCTCATGCACAAAACTGGACCCAGATGTGGACTGCAGAAAACTGCAGACATGAGATAAGGCCTAGGAGAAATGTTCTCAGGAGTTGGGGGACAAGACCACAGAGACAAGAAAGAATGGAAGAAAGGTTTTAGGGGAAGAGATCAAAGAGATGGTTTGTTCAAGCTCTACTTGCAATGACATCTTTAGAAGCTAACAGACAATATATAAACAGCAATGAGAAAAATAG